AGCTCTCCGTCAGCTGTCGGCTAACAAGAGTTCAGATCTGAGTCCAGCTTTCAGTCACATACTCAGCCGGCCGCTCTCTGTCTCTGTCCTGATCCTCATCTTCTTACAGTCTGAGTGTCTTCCTCCTCTTCATCTCTTTCATGAAGTCCAAATCACACCAGTCCAACATCTCCCCTCTCTCTCTCTCTTACCCTCCTTTTCTCTCTCTCTCTCTCTCTCCCTCAGGGTTAAACAGTGAGGTCATAACAGCACATGCTGCAGCAGCCGCTCTCTTGACAAGAAGAAGAAATGTTATCCATAATCAAAACAGTGAACAATCAATGGCTGCAGAGCAACAGACGACAATTCATCTTTCAGAGACTCACAGGTGTGTGTGTGTGTGTGTGTGGGTGTGTGTGTTTTCATATAAGCTTCATTCATCACATCACAGTGAGGTTGTGTTGTTTTGGTTACAAAACTGTTTCCACAATGACTGAAATGCTTTTAGGAGCTGGGTTGACTTCTCAGATTACTAACAGCACACTGACCCTAAATGTTTGTGTGTGTGTGAGTGTGTGTGTTACTGTGAGTATGTGTGTGTGTGTTACTGTGAGTGTTTATGTTGGGAGTAATGTGTTACTTGTTTAATTATCAATCTTGTCTTCACAGTGCTCTGAGTTCACTCAGTGCTGACGTGTTAGTCAAGATTTCTGCTGCTGATATTAAACTGATATTAAAAAATAAATGCATGCGTTGCTCTCATGTCCTCAAACACATCGAATTGTTTCAGGTAACGAGTAAAATGTTGTGATTTATAAAGAGCAAAATCAAACATCCTTTACCTGATCGTGTTGAGCACAGAAATAAAACGACTGTCTCATTTTATTTCAGAAGCAGCAGAAAATATTTTTCTGTCCTTGAAACAAACATTTGGTTGAACAAGATAAGTGTCTTAAGTGTATTTAAGCATTTATATTCCCCTTTAAAATATGTATAAATCATGATCGCCCTTTTGCATTAAACATTCTTACATTTCCACTTTTACACACTTTATAAAAATACAAATACATTTAGTAAAATATTCTAATATTGGGTCAAATGTGTGGTTTATTTATTACAACAAGCTCGTAAAACTGGGGCTCATTTTTGACAGATTGTTTTCTCTTTTGACTAAACTTGATGTTTTCACTTGAATTTTAAATCATCTGCTTCGTGTTAAAATGATTCCTCGCTGCACACGGTCTCTTCTCATGCCCGGGGGGCCTCTGAGTGTCCAGCAGGGTATTTTTGGTGTTGGTGTGAGGGGGATTTCTTCTCTGTGTGTGTGTGTGTGTGTGTGTGTGTGTGTGTGTGTGTGTGTGTGTGTGTGTGTGTGTGTCTAGTGTGTGCCGTCAAATGCAGCACAAATCCATTTAGTCGCCTCTCTGTCAAGTATAAATAGCCTGAAGAGCAACAGGGGGATTCATCCTCTATTAGGAGGGTCTAAATATCAGCAGCTATTAGCCCCGCTCGTCTCCCCGCGGCGGCTCACTGCGTCCCAAACAACATCACTTCACATGCCAGTCAGCCTCAGACGCCTCGACATGCAGACGATACAAACTGAATTTGCAGACCTCCATGTGGGGAGACCTTTTAGATTTAGCAGGAATAACAAAAGTCCTCCAGAGCAGCTCCTCTAAAAGTCACACACTGACATGTTTTCTCTCTTTTTGTGTTCATGTGTACAGAAAGTGATGAGACTGTGATTTGCTGCAGCCGGAGCGGTTACCTTCCTGGAATCTCCACTGGTTGCCTAGCAACTACAACCTGAGGATGGTGTGGAGGAAAAAAAAAAATAGCTGCAGAAGCCTGACCTCCACCGCATCCAACACCTTAGAGATGAACCGCAACGCCCACTGCAAGACTCAGTGATAGACCCTCGATGAGCTGCAATATAATGTTTTACTTACACTGAAAATTAGGAATATTAAATACTTGTTACATGTTTTTATATTCAGTAGTTAAATGATCTTTATCCTCTGTGGGACTGAAGGACAAAATCTAAAGAAAAATGTCCCCAAGGTGACATTCAAGCACGTCTTCAGTTATTCAGGTTTAAAATTCACAATTTACGGTACCACAAGTCTCACACGAGCTGCGTTTGGATCGATGATTTTCCATCAAAATAAAGATAAGACTTTTCTAACACAACAAAACAAGACACCATATGTGCAAACACAACTCGATCCTATAATATGCATGAGCCCTAAAAAGTCTGTTTGAGTTTAACTCTGCAGAGTGTGTGTGGGCACCACAGCTCTGTGTGTGTGTGTGTGTGTGTGTGTGTGTGTGTGTACCCAGTATTGATTAATTATGCATCAATCTCTCTGCATAACTGCACCTTCGAAATGTGTACTCTGCAAAAAAAAAAAAAAAAACCCTCCATCTCTGAGGGCTCTTTGTGTGCGTCTGTGTGTGTACACAAGCATGATAGTTATAATTATTCAAAACTAGAAAGGCGTAGCACTCCTCCTGCTCCTCCCCCGCCCCCCAAATTCTGCTCCTGACAGAGAATGAGAAATCATCACAGCATGGGGAAACATACGCAACACAGACGCAACACAGACGCAACACAGACGCAACACAGACGCAACACGAGAAGCTCAGAGACGAGGAGGAGAAAGAGAAACTTCTGAGGATATTTAAAAGAAAATTTCAAGCATGTTTTTATTTTTCTTCTTAAATTTATTTGAATTATTAAAATAATTATATTATATTATTTATTTTTATAGAATTGTAAATATTCCTGAATGCCACTCTGTGTGTGTGTGTGTGTGTGTGTGTGTGTGTGTGTGTGTGTGTGTGTTCACAGGCCTGGGTGGATGTACTGCAGGCCTGCAAAGTCAATAGTTGCAAACAATGCCAGACCTGACTAATCAATAGAGAGCAATCATGAAGAGAGTCTGATGATCACCACTTAAACAGATTGGGATCATAATCAATGAGCACACTAATTTCCCTCCGTTACACAGCTGGTGGTGGGTGGGTGGGTGGGGGGGGGGCGGGGCTCATTTACCGGTCCATCAGCAGAGATGGTTTCATGACAAGGAAGATTATCAAAGAAAGTTTCTGAATGAATGACGACTTTGTGAAAAGTTTCTTCTGTAGACTTGTGTGGACAACTGAAGGAGTAACAAGCCAATTAACAAAATAAAAGCCTCTCACTGGAGCTGTTACATCTTAATGAACTTACCAAACAATCCCATTTTTCATCCGCGTTTCAGGAACAAAAATGTTAAATTGTTCAGTTCAAATATTTGCTCTCGTAGCAACTCATTTATCTGAGAATAACAAAACAAAACTCTGCATTTGTTGATATTTGTAGCCAAAGAAAAAGAACATTTTACAATTGAGCGCCCTCTAGTGGCACTGACAGTATAAGAAGCTGTGTCGCTGTAGACTGCTGTGCTGATAGAGAATAGACAACAAACCTCTGACTGTACATCACATATCTACAAATAAAGTCTCATTCAATCAAGATAACAGGCAAGCCATTACATAAACATTTAACTCAGATTTAAGTGGCGCCACTATCTATGCCTCTGCCCCCAAAGGAAAGACCAATGACAGGGGTAGAGTACATGTATATAAGCTGCTTAAATATTGTATAAGTATTCTATATGTAACAGAACAAACTGTTATATAAACATAAAATCAGGCAAACTGGGAGGTGAAAATCTGAACGCAATCTCTGCACTTTTTCACAGAGAGAGAGAGAGAGAAGGGGGAGAGAGAGAAGGGAGAGAGAGAGAAGAGAGAGAGAAGGGAGAGAGAGAAGGGGAGAGAGAGAAGGGGAGAGAGAGAGAGAGAGAGAGAAGGGAGAGAGAGAGAAGGGGAGAGAGAGAGAGAGAGAAGGGAGAGAGAGAAGGGGGAGAGAGAGAGAGAGAGAAGGGAGAGAGAGAGAAGGGAGAGAGAGAAGGGAGAGAGAGAGAAGGGGGAGAGAGAGAAGGGGGAGAGAGAGAGAGAGAGAGAGAAGGGAGAGAGAGAAGGGGGAGAGAGAGAGAGAGAGAAGGGAGAGAGAGAGAGAGAGAGAAAGGGGAAGAGAGAGAGAGAGAGAGAGAAAGGGGGAAGAGAGAGAGAGAGCGAGAGAGAGGGAGCGAGAGAGAGAAGGGAGATAGAGAGAGAGAGAGAAGATGAAAAGGACAAACTGTTATATAAACATAAAATCAGACAAACTGGGAGGTGAAAATCTGAACGCAATCTCTGCACTTTTTCACAGAGAGAGAGAGAGAGAAGGGGGAGAGAGAGAAGGGAGAGAGAGAGAAGGGGGAGAGAGAGAAGGGAGAGAGAGAGAAGGGGGAGAGAGAGAAGGGGGAGAGAGGGAGAGAGAGAGAGAGAGAGAGGGAGCGAGAGAGAGAAGGGAGATAGAGAGAGAGAGAGAGAAGATGAAAAGGCTGAAATATACAGGAAGTCAGTGGGATGGAAATATAAAGTTCAATGCTTTTCATTAACACTTTCCACACATACATTCAGAGAGAGTGTGTGTGTGTGTGTGTGTGTGAGTGTGTGTGTGTGTGTCTGTGTGTGTGTGTGTGTGTGTGTGTGTGTGTGTGATAGATACATGGGGATGAAGACTCTTGTCAGACTTCCTTCCTCAGCAGGAAGATGTTTCCTGCTGGCGTGTGGATGCTTGGATGTCTGTTTGTGTGTGTGTGTGTGTGTGTGTGTGTCTCTCTCTCTCTCTCTCTCTCTGTGTAATCTGTTGACATCTCTTCACCTCGCCTGTCACCTCATTCAGCTTCAGTCACACAGAAAATCCAGACTCGACCACAGACACACACACACAGTTTGTCGTTCTGATGGTAAACACTCCCCTCTTCCTCATCATGCACCTCTTCAGCCGGGACAGAGCTTACACACACACACACACACACACACACACACACACACACACACACACACATTCTCACAGGGAGCCTCTGCAGTTGAAGTGCTCCTGGATGAGAATCAAAGAGAAAAAGACGAGAGCTGGTGGTACAGACCTGTTTGACGCGGTCGGGGTTGACGGTGGTCTGTGGCTGCAGGATGCTGACCGGCTCTGTCTTCTGGGTGCTCTGAGGCATCTCTCTGACCTTCTCAGCGATGAAGTCATGGACGCCGTTCAGCGCCTCCACCGTCCCCTGGATCAGACACACGCGCTCTGTCGTCCCTGCACACACACACAGAAAGACAGGTCAGTGCACAAGCTTCAACTGACGGCAAAACCAAACTCTTTATTTATTTATTTAGACGGCATGTTACAAGTGCCAACCTTTACAACAGGTTTGCTCAGAGCTTTTTTAAAAGACATTTATTTCTCTTCTTCTCAGCTTCCTTCTTGTTGAGTTGTTTCCACAGGTGTGCTCTGAGCTCTCACAGGGCAGGTAAAGGTTTGATGTCATGCAGGATGTGCTGCCCCCGCTTCTGACTTCAGCGCTGAGACTTTTCTATTTTCATCGTTTTTTTACGTGCAGATGGATAAAAAATGAACCCAGCTCATACTGCTTTACAAGAAAGTTACAACTGGGAGAGAGAATAGAAAAGACAGGAAGAAACTGTAATGATCCCCGCAGGGAAATTAAACAGCCTCAGCAGTAGATAGGAAAAGCAGAGAGAGAAAAGAGTAAAGAAAAAAAAAAAGGGAATTAAGAAGAAATGGATAGGAAACAGCAGAGTGGGAGGAGAGGAACGTATTTTAACATTTGGTGTGGAAGGGGTTATTTATAGCTGAAATCAAATCAGCAAATCTTAATGAAATGTTAGAAGGCAAGTTCAGAAATTTGGAGAAAACATCGTGATTGATGCAAGACAGAGAGATCGAGCAGAGATCGAGCAGAGATCGAGCGGAGATCGAGCAGAGATCGAGCAGAGATCGACGGACAAGTCAGAGTCAGTCTGCAGTGAAAGTTCAGTATACGTTTGGAAGAAAATGCATGACCTCATATTTAAATGCAAAACACATCAGAAGTTTCATCTCTTCTGCATCTTTTCCTCGTGACCATTTCTCACTCTCACTTCGTGTCTGTTTCCAGGCCTTCTTCCAATCAGGCCGTTAATTCCCCGGTCACATTAAAAAAATAAATACAACAAGCTGCTGAGATCTCCAAAACTTCTGCTTCGGGTTTGGCCTGAACTTGAGAGTAAAAATTAACAGCTGTATCTTTAAGATTGATATCAGCTGTAATTCAGCTGGCTCGGACTCTATTAAACAAATCAAAAAGTGATGCGGTGTCACGCTGAGACTGAGCTGACTGAGAAAGTCAAAAACCCAGCAGAAACACATGCAGGAAACATAAGACGAGCTGTATTTCTGCATTTACTACTCTCTCTCTCTCTCTCTCTGTGTTTGTCTGTGTATGATTATACTGACGACTGGAGCTCATGCACCTCGCGTTTGAATTACGAGAAAGGTGTTGACAGACACCCACTGCTGCTTACAACATTAAAACAGATCTACTGAATGCTGTGAACGGAAAATCTGACATTTCTAAACTCTCTGTTGCTGCACTCAGGTAAAAAAAGAATTTCTGGTGACAGATTGATGCTGCTTGAATCCACAAAGGATGAGCATTTAGGGGACCACCAAACAAGCAAAGAGTTCTCACTAGTGCTGGCAACCAAAAGTATAAGAAATGTCATTTCATAAAATATACAGAACCAGGGGGACGCTCAGGGATCCTTAAAGAGAACTTGTGCAAATTATGACTTGTAAAGCTTGATCCAAAGGCAACATGGACTGATTGAAGATGTTGAAGATGTTTCACCTCTCCTCCTTCTTCAGTTCCAAACTATCTGGCGGACCGAACGAGTGAGGAAGCCTTTTGAGGAGAGGTGAAACATCTTCAAGATCTTTCAAAAAAAAAAGTCCAGTTGCTTTTGGATCAAGCTTTGACCTTTGAACTGACACGGTTTCATAGATTACACGATGACAGAGTGGGACACTTTGTGTAATTAAACATGTGACAGCATTACATGCAGAGGCTCCATGGTCACATTTCTGTACCGATCTAAAGCCCCATATTATTATCATTTACTCCTGAGATCTCAGTGACAGATGGTTTCTATTCATCCAACAATGTGACAACCAGTGAATTAAAATCATCCCAGTGAACATCAGGTCTGTAAACACATATTTTGTTTGTAATGTTTTCCTGTTGTGTTGCAATGAAGTCTGCAAATAATGAATAATGTCATGTGCATGTTTAATGAAAATATTACAGAAAGATCACCTGAAACATGACGGTCTAAATAAAAAAGAGGGAAGTCTTTCAAAAGTTTTTAAGTATTTACTGTGATGTGAAATATGTGTGACTTGTAGAACTGTGACATCAAAAGGTCAAAAAAACAAAAACCATACAAGACACACTTCAGTGAGACAGACACACACACACACACACACACACACACACACACACACACACACACACACAGAGACAGACAGACAGACGGTATAAAAGAGGAAAATCTAGGCCAATGCAAAGCTCTTCAGTCCATCTGTATCACAACAACACACTAAAAGTAAATCTCTCTCTCTCTCTCTTATCCTTTTGACATTTATTCTCTCTCCCCTTTCCTTCCTTTCTTCCTCTCTCTATCTCCCTTTTGTTCCGCTCTTCTCCTCCCTCTCTCTCTCTCTCTCTCTCTCCTCTCTCTCTCTCTCTCTCCCCAGACTCCAGCATTTAGAGGGATCTGCTCTTATCTCAGCTGAGCAGCATGTCAGTTAGCGTTTCCTGTCTCCTCCCCTCTCGCCGCACTGTTGGCCTGGCTCGGTTTGGCCCAGTTCAGCGCTCTGTGGTTGCACTGGGAGCAGAGGGATTGTGGTTGGGAGGGACAAAAGCTGTACAGGCTGTGAGGGCTTCAGACTGATGTTGGGCTACATGAGGAAAAAGCTTTGTTTTGTTGCCTGATATTTAATGAAGTCAACACAGCTCAGTACAGAGTCTAAAAAGTGACAGTAACTTATCAAACTTCTGCAGGAATAAACCTTCTTATGACTGTATTCACACATTTCAAGACTCTTTTTGGACTTCTTGCATACCGTACATACGGGGGGGAGGGGGGGGGAGTGTCTGAAACAACAAGAGGCTAAAAATACAAACACACAGCACAGTCAGGCATGTGCAGCATTTGGCTACCTGTCCACGTTGGACCTCTGCACCGCCTGTTAGCATTACACTCCCATTAATTCCCATTCCTATTTTTACAGCGTGTCGACAGCAGCAACAAACACGCTCTGGTGACAGCAGCTGAACGCCTCAGTTTGGCTGAGGCGAGCTAACAAATCACTCAAACTAGCGTAGCCTAGCATAGCATGACATTTCAGGTGTTAGCCACATGCTAACGCTTAAAAGGTAAACATTAATTCAGCTTTAGTGAGCAGGGTGACATGACACGTGTGTGTGTGTGTGTGTGTGTGTGTGTGTGTGTGTGTGTATATAGACACTGAGGAAACTGGGCTTCGCCTCTCCCCGACAGCTGGTGCCCTCTGGGTAATCTGGCCTCGTCCAATCAGAAGCAAGGATTAGCAGGCCATTGTCTTGGCATGGGTTTGTGTTTGTCATGTCTATGTGTAGCTTGGGAATATGTGTGCATGCATTTTAATGTGTGTGTGTGTGTGTGTGTGTGTGTGTGTGTGTGTGTGTGTGTGTGTGTGTGTGTGTGTGTGTGTGTGTGTGTGGTGTAACTGTAGAAGAAAAGGCTGCTTCAGATCAAAATGAAGATGTTGTACAGCTGTGCCTCTGCAACAAAGAGCTGCTTTATTCCTTCACTAAATATTTACCTAAAGATCAATTTATATTTATTTATCCATAATGAGTGCATGCATACACAACGTGAGCAAATCCTCCAGCTTTTCAGTGTTAAGGTGGATTTACTGTCCATCAAGTAATTGCAGAAGTTACTCTGCAGTCTGAAGTCTTTGTTTACAGCTTCTAAATGTTCTGCCACATAGTTTAACTGTATCAGCTGCAGGCACTAATGCAGCCTGCAGCACAGGTCAGGTCCAGTCCAGGTGGGCAAAGCTGCAGGTTTGAGAACCAGAAGAACGAGAGGTCCCATGACAGGAGATCTTATTGTGATCAGAGGATGAAGGTGGATTGAAAATAAAAGAAGAAAGTGTGAAATTCATATTGCATAATGAACTTCAGCTTGTTTTTCTCTGCAGTGACCAAGTGACCCAACACCAGCACTTTCATCATCATAATCATAATCCACTCTGTGCTCCCTGGCAGTTGTTTTTCTAAAAGTCTAACTAGCATGACTCACTCCTTCCTCCTCTGCTCTCCTCCTCCTCCTCCTCCTCCTCCTCCTCCTGATGACCAGAGAGGCAGCAGACAAGCAGCAAAGCGAGCCGACTCGCCTCTGATTTCTGACTCTCAGAGTAACACTCCAACACACGCACGCTCATTAAGACGATGCTGAAGCTAGCAATTAAACTTAGAATTTGCACCCGAGACATAAATGTGAACACGGGCAGCGATCAAAACAACTTAACAATCCTGCAGTGGGAGGGGAGGCATCAGCCCTCTGCAGCTGGAAGCATAAAAAAAAAACAGCAGAGACGAAGTGGAGGCCAGGAATTTAAGTTCCTAAAACAAATTTCAATTTCAAGTTGTTTTAACGCTGCATTAAAAGCATCAAAGACGTTCCATCACACAGTCCTGAGGAGAGAGAGGGACGAGCGAGCGTGACCTCTCAGTGATCTCTGCACTGATGGAGTTACAGGATCCCCTCGCTCGAAAGATGACTCGTCTTCTCAGCTTCTTAATTTCAGCAGCGCGAACGACCTGCAGCCGTGATTCACTCCCTCCGGCTGCGGGTGGAAAGAGATGTCCACTGCAGGCTACCGTAGCTGACAATAACTATAAACTACGAACTATTTAAGTGTTTGAACGAGTCAAAAGTGTATTTGTGTAATTTAACCCCTTTGAGCAGGAGTTAAAGGGGTATTTCAACATATTTACACATGGAGGTCAGTCAACATTTTAATGACATCATCAAAGTGATTCCAGTTTAGGTTTGGAGAGCAAACATCTTTGTAAAGCTGACTGCATAGTTTTGGTAGGAACTTTATATTTATATTGTTTAGGTTTATAAACCACCTAAATGTTTCACATGTATTTTGACAGTTTTTTTTCTGTCTTGCATTGGTAGTGGTTAACACCCCTGGTA